CATACATATTTTCTCTACACTAGAAGAAGCTACAAATTTTCATAAAAGATTCCATGTTAATGCTAATACTTTACAAAAGTGTTTTAAAATAACTAAGGATCAAGCCAGACATATAATAAAACAATGTCAAAATTGTGTGACCTTTTAACCACAAGTTAATCTTGGAGTCAATCCTAGAGGACTGATACCTAACCATATTTGGCAGATGGACGTCACACACTTGCCAGAATTTGGAAAATTAAAATATTTACATGTTACAGTTGATACTTCTTCCGGATTTTTGATGGGCTCCCTTCATGCCGGAGAAAAAACTAAAGATGTTATAGCTCATTGCTTACAAAATTTTGCCACTGTGGGCATTCCTAAACAGTTAAAAACAGATAATGGTCCTGGCTATACCTCTACCTCTTTTAAACAATTTTGTTCATCATTTGGTATTACTCATATAACAGGAATCCCATACAATCCACAAGGACAAGGCATAGTTGAAAGAGCTCATCAAACTATTAAAACGTACTTATTAAAACAAAAAGAGGGAATTGGAAAGGGGTATATATCCCCCAAAGATAAACTTAAAATAACCCTTTTTACTCTAAACTTTTAAAATTTGGATTTATCAGGACTTAGTGCTGCGGAAAGTCATATGTATCCAAAAAACGTACATAAGCCTAAGGTACTTTGGAAAGATATTCTAACAGGACAATGGAAAGGTCCTGACCCAGTGATTGTCTGTAGTCGGGGGTCTGTTTGTGTGTTTCCACAGGGAGAACAGCAGCCGATTTGGATTCCAGAGAGATTAACCAAAACAATTTCTACAGACCAAAAAGAAGATGATTTGACTCAAATCCATAACAGCTGATATCCAGAGCTCCAGCTTGGCTATTCTTACATCTGCGACAGTTATTAACCAGGATGCTTTTTTCAATATCTATTTTATTATTGCCTTTTCCCACATCATAAAGTTCTATTTTATTTTTTGAGCTCATACAAACCTAGGTTAATGTTTTTTTGATCAGTTTTATTTTTTGACTATGAAGTTTTTAAACATTGCAATGGAGATTTCACCTAGGTAAAGCTACAAGGCCTTTACTATTGTCTTATGTGTTGTATGTCATGTGTGCACACTTCTGTTGTGCTGTATGTCTATGCGTATGTCCATAGATCATATATGAGGAGCGCTCATGAAAAAATGGATCCAAATTTTTTTTATTCACATGATTTAAATGGTTTAATTTAAATTAGGTAAACAGCTGTTAAGGATTGTTTTTAAAGGAGGTTAACAGATCTGTTTGTTTACTTTCACCTTTCCTTTTCATTATATTTAATAATTCTGTTCAGGATAATGTCTCTTTAGCATCATTGTCAGAATTCCCATCTCCATCCCAGTGCCGGTGAAGACTAAGATAAAACCAAACTACAGCTTCTATGATAGCTATCACAGTAAACTGTATAAACTGATGCATCAATGAATATAACTCAACAAGTAATGCTCAATCAAGGACTCGATTTACTTTAGGAGGAAATGGACATATTGATAGACTCCTCCGCTTTGAACTGCTTGCAGAACTTGCCTGGGCTATGTAACTATCATTTGGTGCAGCGAATTGTGGTAGTGCTGGCATATTTTTGCTGATGGTGTCACCAGTGATGCAATTTTTCCAAAGGAGCCGTCAATTGGCTTGGTGTCGTGGCATTTCTGTATCCTCCTCCCTTCTGCTAGTGATGGTCTAAAATTTGGGGGCCAACAGAGGTGAGGCAAAGAACCTCACCCCCCACTGGCACCAAGGCCAAATTTGGGGGCCAACAGAGGTGAGGCAAGAACCTCATCCCCCCACTGGTGCATAGGCCTATCCACAAGTATGGCTGTATGCTGGACCGGTAGTCAGTGACGGGTATGATCCAATTGCAGTGGTATCAACCTAAGACAGGAGGCTGACGCCTAGAGGTCAGTTTTTCCCATGACGGGTAAGAACCATATGTTGAATTGGACAACCTACCAGGCACAGTCCTTAAGCCACTTTGCTTGTTGTTTTATTAATCAGAAGGGGGGAGATGCTGAGAGCCATTGCCAAGTAGGAATGACGCATAGCAATTTCTTTGTCAGCCTACCCAATGTTGCTTAGAGGAAGGACTCTCCATATTGGACCCAGGTCATTTGCAGTGACATTGCATGTAAGGTAACCTTGCTCAAGGACCAGGGCGGATCCAGGTTTAGGGTGTATCCTGCTGGGATTAGGGAGTATCCCACTCCTTGGGTTTAGGGCGGTTCCAGGTTTAAGGTGCACCCTGCTGGGAATAGGGCGTATCCTGCTGCCTCAGGCGCGCCCGCTCCTTGAGTTCCCGTTGAGTTCTCGAGGGATTCAGAGATTTTGGGGATTTTGCCCAGAATGTGGATTTGGCCCAGAATGTGGATTTCCCCAGAACGTGTGTGTAAAGTGCCGGTGACAGTTCGAGAATAAAGAGTTGCTGTTTGAATCTACAAGGTGTGTGATGGCTTGTGATTTTGTGCCCAGCCAGACTGCGGCACTTCTGATCCCCAAGGCTAGCACTACCTGTTGGGTTTTGGGTTTTTGTTGTTGTTATTGTTGTCGTTGTTAGTTTGTGTTTGGTACTTCGAAATGAACCCAGGGCCTTGTACATGCTAGACAAGGACTCTACCCCTCAACTATGACCCCAGTGCTTTTGAAATTTTATTTTGTGAAAGGGTCTCACTAAGGTGCTGAGGCTGGCTTTGAACTTGTGATCCTCCTTCCTCAGCCTCCTGAGTAGCTAGGATTACAGGTGTGTGCTACCATGCCTGGCCCCATCTGTTGGATTTCAAGGACTCATTGAAATGAGAGGCATTATAAGAATTACCTGAATGAGGAAAGAGAATGTGTCCCAGGCTGTACTCAGCCTATGAGGACCTGTCAGTGACAACCCTCTCACCCTACAGCATGGTGGGCACAGCCCTGGGTTTTGTGGGTGTGTGAAAAGGTGTCCTCAAGAGGAGTCTAATGTTGACTGCAACTGCCACCAAATATACTGAGTACACAGGGCATTGTTCTCAGGAGCGCCTGTCTCTAGGTGCAAGGCACACCACTGGGATTCTATTCTCAAGCTGTCTGAAGAGTAAGGATGATTGGGGGTAGGCCTGGGCCACCCTGAGTTTTGAAGCAGCAGTAGCAGCCCCAAGCTCCATGGGGCTCAAGAGAAGGGAAAGTGAAATACATTATAACCAGAATCTAATTCTGCTTTATTTCCCTAGAAGTAGTAATGAAGCCCCACGGGACATGAGAGGGCAGTTGAGGGGCTGGGTATCATGGCCGCCTTGATATTTACTGAGTTCTTACCCCAAGTCACATGTTGCATCAAGTACTTTATAAGACAGTTTTCTCCTTATAGGAGAGGCCATTCTGAGCCCTGTTTGCCTCTAGAGTCTTACACCACCATCTGACCAACTCTTCCCTCCTTTTCCCTTCCCTTTTCCCCCTTTAGTTCTTCCCTCTTCTCTATCCTTTCCTCTCTTCTTTCCAAGCCCAGTCTTTTCCATCATGCCTTTCACTGGTTCAACCAGCTCAGTTCCATTTGGGCAGAGAAGGGCATGGTTTGGAGCAGGCAGCAGAGCCATAAAGTAGAGGATTCCCAAAAGCCTCTACCAGGCATCACCTAAGTTCTGGTGTTGTCTAACACTGCTTGAAAGGCAATTCGTGCCTTTAAAACATATTGTAAAGTGAAAATAAGATCAAAATTAAATAATTAAAACAAAAACATCCAATAAGATCTTTGGGAGTGTTGAATTGTCACTGAAATATGAATGGCTCTTTCTCCATTTGCATTGCCTTTGAAAGAGGGGAATACATTTGGTCACTGCCTTTTCTCCTGGTTTGCTCTGTTCCTCTTTGATATAGGGAGGATTTCTGTTTATTTGCCCAGACCATTACAAATTACCTCTGGGAAGGGAAAGGACTGTGGCTTTGGGGGAATAAAAGAGGACTTTCACAGTTGAAGGTGTCCTCACGTGGACATGAGTGAAGGCACAGGATTCTGTTCCCTCAGGCCTGCCCATCATAAACCCAGGATCCCTTCCCATAGTTCATGCCTGCACTCTCAAGCTCTGACAAACAGATATTTCTTACAAAGAGGAGCCTACAGCTGGGATATCAGGACAAAGTCCATACACTCCTACAAGAGAGGCAGAAGTGTCACATTAGAAATAAAAAGCCAGAGGACAGGTGGACTAGGAAACACTGCAAACAGTGCTCCTAGGTCTTGGATGGACAGTCCTCCAAGGCCTCTCTCCTCTAGGAGTGCTGTCGGACATACTTCAGATGTGGATGGGTGTATCAATAGAACAAACAGCTAGCCAGGAATATGATACATTCCAGGGCAGGGGGAGAGGGGGAACAAGCACAGTGGAGGAATCTGTCAAGGCACAGAGAATATCACAGACCTAGACCTAGGTGGGCCAGCACCCCAAAGAAGCCAGTACTTACTGCCAAGAAAATGTAGCAAGAAGACCAATCTTGCTGAATAGATGAGGAAGATCACCCCTCTTTTCCACAAGATAAGCAAGATACTAATCATTAAGAATTTCAATTCTATCTTTACCAAGACGTGAGTTCCCTATGTCCTATATATTGTCATCAGTTTTTTGTTGTTCTTTTTTTTTCTTTTTTTTTTTAAGAAATGTAGCATTTGGGAAACAACAAATATCACCTCTTGTAGAATCAGTGTGACATATTTTTATAACATCATAAAAAATCTACCAATATGACAGAGAATCAAAAAATTCTGCTCCATTTGTGTACAATGAATCGAACAGCTTTCTACTGCCATGTGTAACTGATTAGAACTAATTAAAAAATAAATTGATTAATAAATTTAGAACTTTTTTAAAAAGGTCTACCAATATAACAAACTTTTCTAATGTCTCTAAGGGACCAATAACAACACTCCAGGGAAGAAATCATACCAGAGGGGATTCTTGCTAAAAAGGCATGCTATTCAAACGTGAAATGAAGTTTTCAAAAGTTGTCAAACCCCACAACTGGGAATATTCTCCATTGAATCTTGGAGTCTTAAGTTTTTCCTTTGTGCCTGAGTAGGAAAAATCTTTAAATTCTATCCTAACCCTTACCTTGTAGTCCAGGGTGGAAACCACCATTTTGCCCTAGCTGGTAATTTATTCTCGACCTTTTTGACTGATCAGAGTTAAGTGATCACATGATGGGGCAGTCTTTGAACCATGAGATCTGGAATCAGACTGAATTGATTTCAATCTCAGCTCCACTGCATGACCCTGAAACACTACTAAACTTCTCTGGGCCCCACCAGAAAATGTAAATCCCATAAACAGCCAATCTGGAGACCTATTCTCAGCCTCCAAAAGACAATCAATAAACAAAGGCTTTAGGTAGCAGGTTCTGCCCACCTGCTGGGACTCTAGCCAGTACAATTCCCAAGCCAGTCCTCTCAGCCTGCTCCAGTTCCAGCCCAGCTAGGGCACAGCTGCAATAATCGCTAGCTCTCCTGAGCCCCATGCATTGCTTGTGAATTTCAGAGAGATGCCATCTGGACCAGCAAAATATTTTCAGTTACACAATGAAAGCAGCAACTGGGTGAGCTGATACTGCCAAGATTCTTTTGTCTTCCCTATATATCAAAAATCAGAGACTCCTAAATCATGCAACACCCCAGCATTGTGTAGATGAGCTCAGGCTTTGTGTTTACTGTATTGGGAGACTGCACAGAATGCAGGAGGCTCCCATACTTACAGATTTGTGGTGCTAAAACAGGCCCCAACTTTCAAACCTGTTAGTTTTACCTGAGTAGGTTCTCACTGCTACCCCATTGGCACCAGAAGCCACTATACTTCTTTGGTCAAAATCCATGGATACAATGTGATTCCCCAGGTAGGACATTGCCACAGTCTGGCTGGGCACAATTCACGAGCCACTTGTCAAGCAGGAACGAACTTTATTTTTTGAACACACGCCGCACCACGCAAGCTCTCCAGGAATTCCCTGAGAGCCCAACTGCCACCACTGGCTCTTCCGGTGAGCACCTCAACTGGAACTCTTAGGTCCCGCTCTTAAGGCAGATTGGCTTGGTCGCGTGGGCAGAGCCAAATGAGTCCCCCAATGAGCAGCTCCGTGGTCTGAAAGGGCGGGGAAACAGCCCAATGAGCATTACTGCAGAGGAGCCAATCAGCTGGAAGTTTGCTGGGGTCCACTTCGGCTGTGGCTCTCAACAGGACATACCCTAGAGGACCTTTGTGATGGAGGCCCTAAGGGCCCAAAGCACCTTTTTTCTTCTTTCTAGGCTGGAGGCTTTTCACTGCCCATTTCAGTCTGTAGTCTTCAAGGCTCAGGCCAGGATCTCCATGCCACTCCTTACTTCTTAAGGCCTTCCCTGGAAAATACAGATATGTCTTCACTCCACTATTAGTTGTAGAGTGCTTTGCAGATTACAAATCACTCTCACATGAATTATCTCACCCCAATGAGATAGACTGAAAAATAATATATCTTGGGAGGAGATTTTAATGTGGTACCTATCTTCTAGATGAGAAGATTGAGGTTTAGAGAGGTAAAGTGACTTGCTCAGAGTCAAATATCCAGTAAACATTGGAGTCAGTGCTCAATCCCAGGTTTATAACATTTTCTGGGCCCCACCAGAAAATGTCCTGCTCCCCCTGTAGAGGATCAGCTATCCTTATCTGGATAGCTCATTTGGTTGTGTGCCTTTCTGCCCCCGCCCCCACACACACCTTTCCTTCACAGACAATGGATAAAATCTCACAGCTTAACAAAATCTAAAGTTCCTATATCAATAATCCTATAGTGAACCTGAATTGGTGATGCCAGGTTTGGAGGATGGGGCAGCAGGAAAGCAGGCACCATGGTCACAGCAGAGTCCCTCTGCCACCTGCTTTCCTTTCATCATGAGGGTAATATTCTATCTCATCTATCAGAATAACCACTGCATTTTAGGAAGAAAGCAGGAGGCAAGTGGCTAAAGAACCTGATAAAGACTCACTCAAAGAAGTCTGGAAGATAGGCTCCAGATATCCCACTTCTACTCATGCACAGAGTCGCACACGTAGCCACACTCTCCAAGATGTGGAGTCAATGTCTCCCAGGCTGCCAATGGAAGGGCTGGGCTGAGAGCCCCTGTTAACCAATTCCCAGGAAGGTTCAATAACAGGAGACAATTTTTACAGCCACATGTGAAAAATGCTGGGGTGATAAGAGAAAGGTGTTTGGCAAGGCATAGCATGAACCAAATATGTTCTCCAACCAGGTACCTTTTAGAGAAAGATGTGGGAACAAATAACCACTTGACTATGAGAATCGGGCATGTGGTTTCTGAGAAGGGAAGTGGTAGTAGGAAGTGGAGAAAAGGGAAGCATGAAGTGACACTCAGCAGTTTCACTGAATCTTTGTTTCTGTCCCAATAAGGGCTAGTGGGAACAGATCCTTTGGGATAAAAGTAAGGTCAGTGCATTGGGGATGTTAACACAAGTGAACAATCAGATTAAGCCTTCACATAGTCCTCCTGCAAGTCAAGCGCTACATCTACCAGGAGTTAATATTTCCCATTTGGGGCTGAGTGGTGATGGTAGCACAGCAATGTGAAGATACTTAATGCCACTGGAATTTTCACTTAGAAGTGGTTAAGATAATGACTTTATTGTGTGTGTGTGTGTGTGTGTGTGTCTGTCTGTCTGTCTGTCATGGTTTAGATATGAGGTATCCCTCAAAAACTCCTGTGTTGATGCTGGAATATTCAGAGGTAAAATGATATCATAAGAGTTGTAACCTAATCAGTCCATCCTAATTTGAATGGACTGAGTGGTACCTACCTGTAGGCAGATGGAGCATGCCTGGAGGAGGTGGGTCATTGATGGTGTGCCCTGTAAGGGTGCATATTCCCTGCAGCTCATTCCCTTTTCTCTTTCTGATTCCTGGCCACATGAATGGAGAACAGCACTTTTCTACCACACCCTTCCATCATTATGTTCTGCCTCATCTTGGGCTCTGAGCAATGGAGTCAGTCTACCATGGACTGAGCCAAAAATCAACTTTTCCTATTCTAAGTTGCTCTTATTGAGTTTTTGTCATTGTGATGAAAAGCTAAAAAAAATAAAGATATAGATGTATGTATAAATCTTCATCTATATCTAGCCATAATAAGATAGGATCTGTCAGGAGCTACCCTGGATGCAGACACCTTTAAGTCCTGATGCACCAGGTTCTGAACAATTATTGCCTTCAGGGTGGCATGGTAGTGTCAGGTTGCAGTAACTTGGGCATTATCCCAGCTCAGATAGCAAGGCGTGGCTCCAGGAGTAGGCGTCACCCACTGGGGTTGAGTTACACTCACCCATTCCTTTGTAATCCTACCCCTTTGCCCTTTTTGAGATAGAATGTTCCATGGAACCTCCCCTTGTGTGTTCCCTATATAAGAATAAAAAATTCCAGTGGCTCTCTTTCTTTCCAAAAACCCTTAAGATCGGAGATCCCTCATGGATTTTGAAAAAATACTTTTGTATATTTGCATGCTTTCTTTGTCATTTTCTTAAGTTATTGGAATAGTCAGATTTTGTGAACCCAGCATTAGGTTGCCAGCTAGGATAGATGGCGATAAGGATCTATGATGCTATCTGAGTTGTGGTAATCCCTAATGTCTCACAGGCACCAGGACAGCAAGTGTTGTGGGAAGTTCTCACCTATTTGCCTTTTCCCAGGCCTGTCTTGAGGACAAGGACCCTATTAAAAATGCGGTTCTTAGCATTTCTGTTCCTCCCTGCAATCCCTAGCATTCTTGGAGGTTCTCCTGAGTCAGAAACTGAAGTCTAGGCTATAGACTATTTTTCAGCACTGTAGACCTTCCATCTGTCTCCTGGTCACCACTTGTCTCCCCACTCTCTCAGCTAGACTCCTGTTCCTGAAACTCCTCAGAATTAGAATTAAGTTGTTCTCATCTTTTCCTTGAGAAGATAATCCTTTTTGCTTCTCTCACCTCTTTAGCATCTGAGTACCCAGGAAAAGCTTTCCCTTTAAGCTCTCTTATTTCTGTGGGAAACTTTAATTGATCCTTCCCTACCCATTCTGTTTGCTTATTTTTTTTCCACAAATACTGTTAATATAGGCAGTGGCTGAGCCTCCACCTGTCAATTCACATGTCCTCACCCTCACTGCCTACTCTCTAGCTTTGCTCACCGTGCTCCAGCAAACACAACCCAGTTTGATTCAGTTTGTCCCTGAGTCTAGCAGGATACAAGACAGGTCCCAACATACATGTCACTTCAATTTTCCCCAAACTAGACTCAATAACAGTCAAACATCAAAAGTAGAAGGTAAGAAAAAAATACAGTGATTTTGTTTCCAGGGATACTATGGTTATATACCAAGAAAGTCATGTATTGTCTCCCTTTTTCCTCAGAGACAGCCTCCCAGCATGTTTATCAAGACCTAGTTAGGTCCCTCAGGGTGTGGGTCCACCTAGAGAAGGAATTGAGTACTTGTGGATTTCTGTACTTAAGGTAGAATACTTCCAACAACCACTAGCTCTGAGAATACTTTCCCAATCTTGGGAAATTTAGCAGAAAGTCTGTACATTAAAACTAACATTCCTAGAACACATAAGCAATGGCAGACAATTCCAGATTCAGCTCAAGCACCACATGTGAAGTGATTAGTCACTACAAGCATCATCCCACACAGCTTCCAAATGTCACTTTATCAATGATATCATATCAACAACAGGGTGAGCAAGATGTGGCAGGGATGTTAGCAGCCTTAGATAGACATGGACACTTCACATGGTAGATCAACCTTGAAGACTCAGGAGTCTGCCATATTAAATTAGTGTTCAGTGATATGGTAGTCAGGAGCATGCCAGACGTTCTCTAGAAATAAGGGACAAATGATGATATGTCACACCTCCCACCACTAAGAACAAAGCACAAGGCCATGAAGGCCTATTTGTGTCTGGTATCAGGGAGTCAAGAGCTGTGGTAACCCCACTTACTATCTCTTCCCATGATCAGGAATTTATGCTTCCTGCCCCCACAACTTTGGTTTCTGTAGTTAGACCAGCACTGTCCAATATGGTAACCACTAGCCACATTTGACTATTTAAATCACGATAAAATACAACTACAAATTAAGTTCCTCAGTTACACTAGCCACATTTCAAATACTCAGTAGCCACATGGGTCTAGTGGTCCTTATTGAACGGTGTGGGCTAGGCACTCTGGTTTCCCAAATGGGAATGATTACACCAGGAGTCAGAGTTCCATTAACTACCAGGCATGGCTGACAAGTGAATTACAAGTCATGGGCACCTTGGGCTCTTCATATTATGGAACCAACAAGCATGAGAAAGAGTCATCCATCCTATCAGGAGTCATGGGCCCTGGTCATCAGGAGGAGGCAGGTATGTTCTCACATAATAGGAATAGAGGGATAGGTTTGGTAACCAGGTGATCCACTCAAAAATGTGTCTTGGTGATCCCCGATTTTCATGATAAATTGATAAGGGTACATTCCATAACCTGGGGACAGGGGGACAAGGGGGCTCAGAACCTTCAAGGATGAAGATCTGAGTAGCTGGCTGAGATGGAGGGGACTATATTGCAGAATTCCCTGTGGGACTGATTGAAATTTCTCTTTCAACTATATAACAACTCCACTGTTTTCCCAATTCTACTCCCTTTACCATGTTGTAATTTTCTAGATTAAATCCTGTTATACCATGTCAAATTGTAAAAGGAAACAATTGAGAAGATGAAATATAAATCAGCCACACCCCTCTTCCAGAATGCCTTTGCCCAGGTAAGTCTGGGGACCTCTAGGTATGGAGGTGTGCCTCCTTGTGCGCTAAGGGTTGGGGTCCTTTCAGCTACTGTTTGGTGGTACTGAGTGTGCCAGATACCTGCCTGAAAGAGGGAAGCATATTCTGGAAAATTGTGGTCCAAGAAATGTGATTATCCACTTAAGGAATCTTGTGCCTTCAAGGACGCCTCACTTCATTGGGTGGAGGGTATCCTGGCCCTAACATGCTCAGGGCCTTGGCCAGCTCTCTCCTGGTAGGGGTATGGCTTGGTCCTATAGAATGCTACCCATGGGCAAGGGCCAGCCAACTAGCCATGCATGGTAGCCCTCCTCCACGAGCCCCTTCTTGGAGTTGCCTCCAAGCATATTGCTCCCTTGGGGTAATTGGGGACACTGTCTCATTGGAAGATACAAGCATCTGCTTGTTTGAGGGGCTGACTTCTGCCTTGTCTTGCCAGGAGGATGCAATCTCTGGCACCTGGGTGAGGCCCAGATCCCACTGTGTGGCTTTGAGATCTGCATGACTCAGCCACCAGGCTGTTGCTGAGGACCTGGGGAGGTTGCTTGGTTACCCTGGAGATGGCAGACACATTATACTGTGATGATGTTGACCTCTGCTTCTGCTCCCTAACAGCAAGCAGTGTGCGCCCCGAGCCGCGTGTCCTTCCTCACTGGGAGGAGGCCTGACACCACACGCCTGTATGACTTCAACTCCTACTGGAGGGTGCACGCAGGAAACTTCTCCACCATCCCCCAATACTTCAAGGAGAATGGCTACCTGACCATGTCGGTTGGAAAAGTCTTTCACCCTGGTACTGCTCCATGCCCAAAGTCTGAGTTCTCTTGTTCTGTGATGAGTGTGGGAATCCCCTGCTGGGCATGAGGCTGTCTCTGCAGACACCTTTTCGGCCTGGATGCTTACACTGCTGCCTTTCTAGAAAAACCACTTCTCAGCTTGGCTTCAGTTCTCAGTCAAAGTGAAAAGAGGGTAGAAAGAGTCTGGCTCCCTTTCAGAGGCTGGAGGTGGTGCTCTGGGGCCTCCTCTGGCTCCTCAGGTGGTGGGAAGGGCACTGGGTGGGGAGGTGACAGTGCTGGGTGTGAGTTCAGCTCTGGACTGACCCTCGGCCCTGTGAGGTCCCTGTCTGTGAAAGTATGGGTGGGGCATGCACATCTCGGGAATTTGTGAATAGTGCTGCTTGTAAACTTGCAGGGACAAACCTCCCAGGCAAATGGATGGGAGTTTGGGGGTGCCTACTTCCCACTTTTAGTGAATGATGTCAGGAATCTAAACTGCCAACTGTGTTTATGCCCAGGAGCCAGCAAGTCTAGGGATCAGAACATATACTTTATTAATTACCTAAGGTGGTTCTGCCTCTCTTTTAGCACAATTCTTGGCCTGCTCTCTGCTACCTTTTCCCATCCTAGGTCTCTAGGGCAGCTGCCAGAAACCTTCTGAGCCAATCTTCAAGGTCCTTGACTTCTTCTTCCTCTTGGTCTCAAGATAGACTTTTGGGTTGCTTTTGGGCATATGTTCTGCTTTCTCACGTATTCACCCTTACCTACAGCTGCCCAGACTAAAGCCCTACACAAGAGTGATGAATGTGTTCCTGCAGTCATGTAATCCACATCTTCACTGAGCATTTGCCATGTGTCAGGACCTATGCTAGACTCAGCAGCTACGTCAACATGGTGTCAGATAACCCACCGTAGTCAGAAGAGACCTGTGATATCATAGTTCCTGTATTTGGGAATGCCACAGAGAACCAGCCTGATATACCTTCAGGGCTTCTGTGTATATCCCAGTCAGACTTCAAGGGGATAATTCCTGTGGTCCCTCTGTTGGGACCCCTCACTTTCCTGTCTCCAAGGGCTTCCTGTACCTCAACCTCTGAAGCCTGTACCAGATGGAGGCAACACTCCCTCTAAGCTGGTACCCCAGGATTCCACTGAAATCCCTCCCACCCAGTTACCAGGCCTCATGAGTCAAGGCTACCTTGATTTACTCCTAGAGAGTGAACATGTGAAGGTGCAGCACTTGCCCCCACCCAGTTCATGGGACTCATGGACTCTGGAAAGTACCTCTCACTGAGTTCCTCAGGAGTATCTCAAAATCCTGTTGGCTAGAGGGAGGAAGGAAGAGAGAGCAGGCCAACCCTCCAAACATCATAGGTGCTCAGAAATCTTGAGTATTTATAGTGGACATGAAGTATGCTTTGATTACGGATAGGTGAGAGGTTCCTTTCACCATGGGGTCTTAGGAAAGCACTGTTGACTCAGAACACATTGCAGTCCCATTTTGTAGACCAGATCCATCAAAAGTTGATAAGTTTGCAGACCCAATGTCTACTGTATACTCAGGCAGTAAGGTCTATGCTGGACTGTGCAAGATGAAGAGAAAGCAGATAAAATTGGAACCTTGGGACTTAATACCAGAGTGTGGTATCTTTTTTAGCATCATATATCCCAGACATGAAGCTGAGAAGTTGGTGACCAAAAACTATCAACAGGTGCAAGGAAAATAAAGGTAAGATAAGCATGATAGGAAAGGCAAAAGTTAAAGGATCAGTAAAGGTGTAGCCTAACATGATGGAAACCTTTTAGAAAATACACTGTTTATTTCAGCCAAATGTCATAGAAAAAACTTTGTCCCCTACCTTCACCCAAGTCAGCAAAGGCCACTTGGGTGCTTAGAGTGCTACCCCTGATAACAAATAATGACACCCTCCCCACCTATGAAGTTTTAGAAGAGGCTTAATAGGGAGCTAGTCCTTTTACCTCTAGCACATAGTAATAAGCCTTCATTCCCCAAGATGTCAGTGTAGGAAACATGATGGGCAATAAAGAGACATCTTTAATCCTCCCAGCTAGGGAGTTACCAGTGCAGGCCCAGCTCAGAAAGAGAAAATTCACCCTTACCCATAAATAACAAGGAGTTCACCATTGATTTCATGGATTAACAGAGGACAAAGAAGGTTAGGGTTAGACCACCATACTCAACAGACAGTAATGTAGTGGAATCCATCTCCTTTCCTCTGCTGTGGTGATGTCAGGGTATGACAACTAAAGCAAGGATTAAGTAAAATCTTGATCCTAATAACATCATAGAAAAGTATTCTGATTTCAATTAAAAAAATCACTCATAGCAGGATGCAGGAAGGTCTTGAGATGAATGAAAATATATAGTCAATTAATATCTACACTAATGTCATAAAATAGAAGTATAGGTCAAAAAAGTTAAAGAAGACATCATCATAAAAATACTTCACTTGGCAATTAAGAACTTGCCACAGTCTGGCTGGGCACAAATCAGGAGCCACTCAAGCAGGAACAAACTTTATTTCCGAACTCCCCCAAAGGCCACCCACGAGGTTCCTCCAGGAATACTACACACCAAATGGAACTCCCTCCCCTGGGCTGCACCCGCATTCACTCTCAGAAGGGAACCACCCTAATACTGGTGTAAAGGTCTAATATACAATTGAATCAATCCAGCATCATCTTAATGGCTCGCATCTCAACCATTACTTCTGGCAAAATGCCAGGGGCCATTCCGACTCAGCTGTGGCTCTCAACATCTCCCCCCTTCTGTTTAATTAAACAACAAGCAATGTGGCTTAGGGACCGTGCCTGTCTCAGGTTGTCCAATACTACAAGAACTCACTTGAAAGAAACTAAAAATATAAAGCCTTAGTAAAAAAGAGAAGACATGAAAAATCAAATGGCAATTTTAGAATTGAAAACATAATAGCTGAAATTCAAATAAACTCAATAAGGGAATCAATGGCAGAATGCAGAGGACAGGGGAGAGTGAACTGAAGACACAACAATAGAAAGTTCTTACACTGAAAGTCTGAGAAAAGTTATACTGTGAAAAAAAAATGAACAAGCTGCAGGGACCTGCAAGAGTATAAAAAAAAGATCTAATATCTTTGTTATAGCGTTTCCAGAATAAAAGGAAAAAGAAGGTGGGGTTTAATGAGCATTTGAAGAGCCCAGCATGGTGGTACACTCCTGTAATCTCACTAACTCAGAAGACTGTGGCAGGAGGATTGCAACTTATCAAGAACCTCAGCAATGTAGACGCTGTATCAAAACAAAAAATACAAAGGTCTGGAGATATAGGTCAGTACACCCTGGGTTCCATGCACAGTATAGAAAAACAAAGACAGACAAAGAATTTTTAAAAAATGGGGCTAGGATTGTGGTTCAGTGGTAGGGTGCTTGCCCAAAACATATGAGGAGCTGGGTTCACTTCTCAGCACCACATAAAAATAAATAAAATAAAGGTATTGTATCCATCTACAACTAAAAATATATATTAAAAAAGAAACAACTGGAATACCGGCTCCTCTGGGAGACCTCCTCAGCCCCTAACCCAGAGGTAGCCATTCTTTCCTCTTAACAAGTATCTAACTAATGCTGCCTAGCTTCAGACTTCAGGATACAAAAGTAAGCCTTAAAGATGACCCTAGCAGCCCTGGGGATAGCACAGAGATGAGTATATACCTCCAGAGAGCCCCTGCTAGGACAGTACTGCTGACTTCACTCTGCCTTGTGTCATGATGCCATGTATGCAGACTGCCCTGTAACAGCAAGCTGTGCTCACACCCCTGCTAACAGATCCGGAGATGCCCTGTGAGCAAATGCCCTGGAGACACATCCCTATGGGCACCCACGTAGCTGTCTAATGCAACAGAGACCAAAGCACCTCCCAGGAAGCCTGCTGCAGCACAGGGCAGGGCATGCTTCTGCCTATGTGAAGATAGCAGCCGGGCCCTTCTTGGAGCTGCTCAACCCACACCTGCCCTCCTGAGCATCCACTGTGGGTGCTCATTCATCTAAATAGTCAGTATGGACTGCATGACCTACTGTGTGCCAGGTACCAGGAGGACCCAACAGGAACACCCATGCCCCATGCAGGCCCCTGAACTGGAAATCCTGGCTCCACACGACCCTGTCACACTGGTCAGGACTGTCAAGTCAGGCCCAACCTGCTGTCCAACCCCACTTCCTTCTGTGGGTATTAGTCCCAATAAATCGGTGGCTCTGCTCGCTCCCTCGCATGCTCTGCTTCCTGGACCCAATGTGACACAGCTGGTTCTGGACTGCTGCAGGTGGTAATCTAGGGTCTTGGTGCAGGATCACCCAGTATCTGCCTAGCTGGTGATGAAGACCCCACAACAGGCACGTAGGGGGTGTGCAGACAGACCCAGGCACAAGGGGGCAGCCCAGGTGCCAGACCTTTGGTGTCAGAATTTTACTGGGATGGCTACCTTGTGCAGAGGAAGCTTCTAGCAGGTGAGGACACCTGGGCACGTGTAACGCATGGGAAGGCAACTGCCAAGACAACGGAAATGATCAGTTGCGATTACATTGTTGGATGACTCCCTGTGGATTAAGGAAGGCAGAGGGCAGTTAACCTATGACTAAAAACTAAGCAGAAACACAAGCTTCTCCTCTAGGGTCATAAAGTAGCTCCCATGTCAGGCACAGTGCACTGCAGAAGTTGAATATCAAAAACATACTTTGATAAGCAGACGGCTGGATGTTCAACCAAGGCAACTCAGTCTTGCCAAGGGTAGAAGCACTGTGCACAGACCTTCCTGTCAAACACGGGGAGCAGGGACAAGCAGAAGATCCCAAATGTCAGACTCCCCAAATGCCTCTGAAACTCGTGAGCCTACAGTATGACTCACCCCCCTCACGCCACTCCCAAGGGAGTTATAGGAATCTTTTTCCCCACAGCAGACCTCCTTCCTAGGAGCTGTCCTCACTGTATCTGCCTGGCAGGGAGGGTGTCCAACCATCCCAGCTGGCTGTGGGGCCTGCAGTATTACAACCAGGAGAGGGCTCAGAATAGCAGGATGGGACCAACCTGCTGCCAGATGTCTGAGCAGAGTTAGCACAGTACAGCACAACACGGACAAGGCTGCTGGGCCTGGTAAGGGAGACAAAGAAGACACCTATAGATGAAGGAACAGCACACACCTGCACCTATGGCCAGTCGGAGTCCCTAGAGGATAGGACAGTAAGGGTGCCTGACCAGGGG